ATTCTTTTAATATCTCGAAATTTTGACTTTAAGCCAGCAATTTCGAGATTAAGGTCATAGTTTTAATTAACGTTGCTATTGGTGGATCGAAGTTTAAAGCATCAAATTTAAAATTAAATGTCAGTTGAAATTGAAACAAAAGCTGTAACAGAAAAGAGTATCTCTAAAATACCAACCTACACAAAACACGAAGACATAATATAAACGATCAGTGAATACAGGAAAGAATCGATATAAATGTCTCATTGCCAAAGCAGTTTGCGTAACGACATTTTGTAAGCACATCTTGACAAAATAATAAAAAATTCACAAGATGCGGAACATGACTCCCCACAACATTGTAGGAAAACGAGATGATTACAAAGTACGTATCCAATTTTGTTATGGAAACAACAGCCTGTAATACAACAAACGAATAACGTGTCATTGGGGATAATAAGAGGGTTTTAGCGGTAACAAACACGGTGATATTGTCGTTATGGGTTTCGTATTTTTCTTGTAAAAATATACTTGTTTTATTTTTTCTAAAACGCCGCCCCACCACTGTGCAAACAAGTATTGTATGCGCTAATATATTCCTGTCATTTTCTCTTTCCATACAACGTTTGCGATTGTAAACAGGTCGGCAATTTTCTATTTATTTTCCTTCAAAATTAAGTAATTTTTAATAAATACAATATTTGTTTATTATAACTCTGACAGCTTTAATAACATTTATATTATTAATAAAAACAGTAAATGGTTGAAAGTGCAACTAAATACAGTGGTTTTCAAAATAGGAAGTTATTGGAAGGCCAAAATTATTCCAATGATTGAGATAATTGAGACTACAACGATGTAGATCCGTCGATTTGGAATCACCAATTTCTTTATTAAAATTATCATCATTCCATATTTGAAATACAGGGTAAATCGTAAACGTTTTCATATATTTTTAACAGCAGTTCATAGGTATTATTGTACACAACATAAAATTACCTAATAATTTCTTTTACAAAAAAAAATAGGGACGAAAAAATCAAATTTAAAATAAATATGCAAATTTTAATAGAAAACTTCTGATTTCACTATAGAGTTTACGCATAACGTAAATACCTTACACAATGTTGCCGGTGTCAAATAGAACTTTTAAACTGTAATTTTTTATATACAATAGGAATATTTGATGCTTCCTTATAAGTACAGTGATATAAGCCTTGATAGATCCATCTCTAATAATAAGAGATCTATTTCTGATAATAAGATCTATCTTTAATAATAAGAGATAAGATCTATCTCTGATAATAAGACATCCGATCAATCTCTAATAATAAGAGAGTCTATATCTGCTAATAAGAGTGTTATGGAAAGTTTATTGTTAGCAAAGTTTTTTGGCCGTATCTTTCTTATTATTAGAAATACATCTATCAAACCTTATATCATTATAATTATGGGAAAGAGTTCTATCTAAATATGTAAAAGTGTGCAGTGTATTATTATATTTAAATAAATAATAAATATAGGTATCTAAAATTCAACATTCAACTTTCTAAGTAGGTAGGTACAGTTTTTGAAATCACAAGAAAATTTCCTACAACTTTGGCAAATACAACATTTTTCTAAGCATGAAAACAGCAAAAATAAATGGGGTAGAAATAACCCTGTACATAAACGACGAGCTTTTACTGAGAGATGGTCACATAAAAACTAGATTTTAAAGCTTTTGTCAGATTGTTTTTTAACATTCTTTAAGTTTATATACCAAACCGTATTTGTCCGTATTTTGCAGTATTTAGGTACCAATATATCCTTGTACCAATCCGTGTACCTATCAAATTCTTGCCGTTTGTGCACCTTCATTGCACAAAAAATGCGCTTTAACATATGTACAATTCCATTGTACTTTTAAATTGTCATATATCACTTGATTACACCAAAATTTACTAAAAACTTCGATTAAATACACTTAATGGTACTTAAAAGAGAAACGCCGTTTGTGAAAATAACAAATCGACACAAATTTCCACGTGTTAACATTTATGCATGCCACAGAAAATACCAGGACAATTACAAAAGTATCCTACAGGACGAGGACGAGTTAGACTGTTTCGTATATTATACATTAAGAAAAATACCTAATTTTAAAAATTGTTGACGACGAACTTAAGTCGATATCTGGCAAAATGGAAAACACATGCATCAGTTTTATGCGTTTCATGTACAGTGTGTTCAAGCATTACAATTCCAAAATCATTCTGCGAGTACTCGTTTTTATCGATGGACATCACAACAAAAAAAAACACGACAAAATTATGAAACTTGTCTTAACGGAAATACATACATGTAAGTATAGTGGAACATCAATGTGCAATATTTAATTCTAAGAACAAATTTTCAGCAAATGCAGGGATTAAGTATTAACCATATTTTTATTAAGTCTTATTTTACTCGACAAAATAGCTGGTGTACAATGCTTAAATTTTTACTAATTCATTTACTAAAATTGTCAGAAGACATACAACCAAGTGATTGTCAAAACATGTGGTTTTTACTTTATGGTACGCCGCCATATTTTCTAAACGAAATTCGTGATTATTTAAATAATGTTATGAGTTTTTACGAAAACAATTGAAAACACCGCAGATGTCATACCTACTCAATAAAATGCTTTACTGCATTTACTGACTCGTGGACAATTTTGGACATTTCTTGTAGTAGTCACAGGACTGGACTTTACAATTTTTATAATACATATGCAAATTTTATTACACTTTCCAACTTTTTACTTTTTATTATTTTCCTTTTGAGTGTGATATGATTTCCCAATAAATAAAAATATATACAGAGGGAAAATCTCAGTATGACATTGTATACATATTTAATAAACATTTTTTACCCTCACAGGTACATATCTGTCTTAGGATAGACACTACCTTTACTTTATTAAACTGGAACTTCTTACGTTTTTGCGCGCATTTCGAAAGTAGCCCTCTTAAGAAATAATCCGTCACTAATAGAGCAGTCGATGTCTTAAATCACAAAAAATACCGTCGTGTGAGGTCCCCCGTCTTTTAGCTCTGGTCTGAAGGTGAGGAGAAGCCCCCGTACCTCGCAGCCCGATGGACCGTATGGCCTGCAGCTCGTCTTCGAAGGTGTGCAGAACTAGAACTAATCATCTATCATCCGGAATGATTGTTATAAAGGAGGCGTGTTGTTGCACGATCGGGGATCGGGATTCTGGCTTTGAGGGAGGAAAATCTGCAATCGGAGGCTTCGTTAGCCATCGCTAAGTGTGTGGGTTTTAGGAAATAGTTTTTCCCGCGGCGTCGCGATGATTGCATTTGTTTTGGATTGCGAAAGGCCTAGCCGAATAACTGGAAAGATGGTAGAACGGGCGTAAGAGACCATAGGCGTCTCTTGAAGAAGGCGAAGGGGTATTGAAAATGCAAAAAAATAAATTTTTAATTGCTTGACCCATGACTTCCTCAGAAAATAATAAGTTGAACATAATAGAAGAATTATGATGGAATTAACAAGCAACTTTTAAAATATAGAAATGAAAGATATCATAAGATAAAATTGTTCTTGCGCATTATATTTTCGATTTTTCAACTGTGGTCGGTAAAAACAAATTTACTCTCACTGTATCATAACTGGCGAAGCAAATTTTCAAAGGACGTTAATTATGCTGCTATCATAATGATGGAATAAATAATTCTAGACGAGAAATCTTCAATTTCGTACTTGTAAATGGAATTTCCAGAAATACGAGTAAAAAATGCGCTTTAATATACATTAATTAATTCCGAGTCTTACATGAATAAACTCTGAGTATGGAGAGGCTCAAATTGTGAAACTTTTCAGTTTTTATCGTGTCGCAGTACATCAGACAGGTTTCTAGCTCCATTTACAAGGCGTAATGATGGATGTTCCTTGCAATATTGCAACTTCTTAGCTTGTTTCTTGCTGATAATAGTCCTAATAATAATAACGATCTCGTCCGTTCCGTTTTGCGGATTTTATATTGTGAGATAATGATAGATGATTGTGTTCGTTAGTGGTCAGTAGGTGGTATTTTTTTTGCAAGGAAATGCACTTTTAATTTGTATCAGGTACTTTTTCCATCCGTTAAATTGCAAAATTTACGCCACACAAAAAATGTGTTTTCAAGGAATTTAGTTAGATCTACCATAAACTTGATCTTTAACAACCTTTTTGAAAAACAGGTTTTGTTGTATCTTAAATAGAATTTCAAACATTGTTGTCTCTGATAGCGGCAGATATTTTTCACGCAAATACGGTTGTTGTTAAAGTGGTGTCCTTAATCTGTCAAAATTTTATAGGATTATCTTTTTTAGGGAACGTATATGCATTCACTTATAATCAATGTAAATAACAGTTACGAATTTTTTAAATTGTATTAGTTACACACTCACTTGATCCTAAAAAAGTGGAGGTTTGTAAGGAAAGTAAGGCTAAACGAAATATTTACTATTAGAAAAACTTGCATCTAGTTTAATAGCAAGTTATATTTCTTAAATTTAGTTTAGACGGATTGAAGGGTACAGGAAGTATATTTGTACAAACTATTTTGGAAAAATTTCTACCGGTTAATCACTGAAACTTATATCCTTGACAGAAATATAATAGCAAGACTGTCTATGGTTTAAGAGCTACCTAGTTGGAAAGATCTACACGTCTAGCTAGATAATATGTGTCTATAGATTCATTATGTACGTATTATTCATTCAGATGTTGAAATTTCCATCATTACAATAGACAGTTTAATAAAATTAACTGAATCCGAAAATTAATGTCTTGTTCTTTTCAATCGAACGGATGTTTGGCAAAGAAATTAATAGTTTGAAGTAAGTACTTATTTAATAGCTTATTAAAAATTATTTTTGGGAAATGCGCCTGCTTGATTAAGTTTATATAAAGTTTATAATAAACGAATTTGTTTCTTTTGCGAGATTTTCATATAAATAACTAAAAAATCTTCAAATAAAACCGAAACTTACCTGCGTTAGCTTCTGCAGCCGACGAATCGAAGGTTTTGGACGTCATCTGGAAGAGAGCGTCCAGAGGAGTAGCCCCGGGCTGTTTTCCCTGCTGTTGCTGCTGCCTCTGCCTTTGGGCCGTCGGAGAAACAATATCCGGTGAGCAACAGTCGCTCGCCACACTCGACGACCTGTCACTGCCAGTCTCTGACGTGTAACTCACGTTAAAGGCGAATTCCGGCCTCAAAAGAGCCAATTGCTGCACCTTGAGTTGCCGGTGGAACGATTCGAGTCTTTGGTGGTGCGCCTCTATCTCAGGATCTATATCCCACGGCCTTACTATGCGATTGCACTGAGGTTTGCTCGGTTTGTGATTGAGGATGTCGACGATGGAGAAGCTCTTCACGCCGTCGTTCCTTTCCTCTACTTCTACCGTGGGTGATATCCTTCTGTCCGCTTCTACTTCGACCATTTTGAGCTTCTTCAAGGGTTTAAAGTAATCTTCTGCATCATCGGGACATCGACATGTCGTTGTGGTGGAGTACGTTGGGCTCTGGTCTCTAGATCTCTTATGAATATAGTTTGGAGAAGACTGAAGTGCTGGACTTGGACATCCAACGCTTATTTCGTCTTCAGACATGTACTTGGTGGACTCATCCATGGCCATTTGATTGTTTTCTCTTATACTTGGACTGGGAGATCTTGAGGATATCGGACTTTCATATTTTGACCCTAAATACGGAGACATGTCGTTGTTCAGGCTTTTCGGCGATGTGGTTTCTATATCTTGCATCTTCCCACCAAGGAAAATTGTTCTAAAACCTCTCGCAACTGCACATGATACCACAACACGCGAACGTAAACGGAAACCTGTGTTAGAGTCACTGAACACACCGGAAAAAACGATTGGTATTAAGGAGGTATGGACTGCACGTCATGTAGCTTCGTATCTTTAACGGATCTGGTAACAAGTGAACGTCTATCTGCCAAACTAGCCGACAGAGGCTGGTTAGCAGGCGCCGCCCCTCGTTTACCCGCTCCTCCAATGGTGGCGGGGCAGGAAACTGTTTTGCCTTTATAAAAATGCCGCCGTCGGCCCCTATTGGTGGGGGGCGGGGCTTGCGCGACTCTGTTTTATGTGTCTGCCCACCAATCATTTGTCTAATTTGTATAGTGCCGTTTATATCATTTGTTACAGTGGAGATAAATGAGATTTTGTTTTAGGAGATTATTTAGCATGTGTTTAATGTAAATTATTTTGGTTTATGACTTTTTACACTTTAACTTCTTTATTACTGGTGTAAATTCGCACTATTTTATGAGATTTCGGCCTTAAATTAATTTACTGTACAGGAAATGGACTTTATGGCGGTTTTTATGGTGGAATCAGGGCTTTAAACCTTTGAGAGGAGCGTTTCCCATTATTTCCTAAACAGTTTTTATTTCATTTCGTTTGTCCAAGAAAAAAATCAGGTTTAGCAATTTTTATAAATATCTATTTACTAGCAAAATTTAGTGCTTTCATACCGGTGAGCATTTAAGTGGAAACAAAATATTTTTTTTTTCAATGTTTTGAGTAGAATGCCCCTAGAAGTACCCTAAACTCGTGTCGTAATACATTTCATTTTTTAAGATAAGAAATAATACATTCTTGTGCTTTTAGGCTCTTTTGAATAATCTTGAAGCAACTACTCTGCGGACTACAGCTTCCTTTAACAATTACACCCATAATATCTAGTAAACAACTAGAATCTAAGCAACATTAATACCAGAATATTATTAGTTCTCGTCAGTATTGAGCGTTGAGCAATTAAGATATAACATGTATATTATATCTCACCCACACCATGTAGAATATGTAAAAGAATTTCACTGCATCAGCGCTTGCTGTATATTAATTTTAAATAAATTGTTTTCTGGGAGTATTTAACAAATGTGTAGGTATGGAAAGGTGTTTCAATAAAATATTCTTGCACATTTTATTTCACTCGACGAGTTATAAATGGCAATTAAAAATAAAAATTTGTGGAATCAATTTTTATATGATGGAAAGTTGATGTCGAATACAGCTACCAATTATCTGTTACGGCGCAAACTGTCTGTATTATGTAAACAAAAACCACAGAGACCATTATATTCAGTTTCTATAAAAATCGGTCTTTTTATGGGTTTTGTAAATCATTTCGGAATATAATGATCTATTAATTTCTTTTGTAACACCATACGTACGCTGGCTGATAGCAATATTAGATCTTCATCATAGGAGGCCCGAAAAAAATTAATGATACGTTCATGCTAACACCAATTATAAGCGGTAAACGTAAGGTCACTTTCAATCTTGGGAGGTTGACTTAAATTCATTAAATACCTATATCGTTCTAGAGTGTAAATATTACTCGAATTAACTGTTACAAAAAGAAGGCGTAAAAAAATCGATCATGGGTTCTGTTAGAAATTAGTCATAGATTGGGTTATATGAACATCTAATTTACACAATATAGGTAATAACGTTTAACAGTTTTCCTGGAATATAGTTTTTGTTTGGTATAATTTATATTTGTATTAAGTCTGTTAGGTTTTTGGGCGAGTATTACTTTTTTGCATCAAACGTTGGAAAAGAATGTCCATCGGAATTTAGGTATCTTCCATCGACTATCTATAATCTCTGTATAGTATAGTACTTTAAGACCCCATTAATGATTTTAGTAAAAAAATACCTATCCATGTAACATAACCTCAAATATGTCAAAAAAATCTCGATTTCGGTACTTTTAGGTTAAGATATCTGGAAAACCAGAGCCAATTGAAAAATTTGGACCTCAGATTCCAATTCAGTGCATCAAAATCGTTCGGAAAAGTACATTCTGGTTTCTGGGTTTGAGGGTCGGCCAAATTTTGTCGGCCTGTGTTATTTTTCTATAGATTATAGTCAGCAAGCAACTGTTGCAGATATCTACCCATTTAATTTCTCTTCATGATGTCTTTATGGAACCCCTTTTGGAGTGTTTCATTAGGAATTGAAATATATATAGAGCCTCAGCGGGACATCATGATTTAGTATTAATGATCGCAGAGGGTATTCAATTTTCTCCGTTAGAAGTATCTGTTTTAATTATATAAAGGGTAGATATTGATTTCTAGGGGTAAAAAAAATATTCAATCCCACGCGAAACAAATGTGTTTAGCCTATTTTAGGATCTCATTCAAATGTGGGTTATTGATTTATGTGCATATGTGTAGACAACAAGGAATTGACGCATATTTTTCTACACAGGGTGATTAACGACAAATGTAAATATAGAGAAACATGGAGCATCTGAAAAATGTAAATATGTAAGTTTTATCATTACAGAATTGTTTAGTAGTGTGGATATGAAACATTCCTACATGCTTCACCTTGTAATTTTTATGTTAATGAAATAATTTAAATTATATGCTAAATTCTTAGTTATTTTAATATTAAGTTGTCAATTATACAGAGATTTATTTATTACCAAAATGGTATAAGGAGCATAAACACAATAATATAAATTATTATTTCATTTCTGTTTTACGAATGTAGCCAACGTCTATATAAGTATTCTGACAAATTCATTTTTATTAATGTGTTTTCATTTACTGCTTTTTATGTCTGTCAGATACCAAATAACAATCATTTGCTGACTAATCGAGATGGGGTGCTACTTGTATAGCTTTGACGAATATTTGGCACGTGAAGATATGCTTCCGAATGTGTCGATATGCACCGAACACACAATACGGCACTTGATATATTTGACAAGTATGTGTACTCCAGTAATTCTATACGCACGCTTGGAATCTCCATACCACACTACTTTTGTTTACGTTTAGCAAATATTTGGTAAGTGACCACATCATCTGGAGTCGGAAAAGGTTTGAACGTAGGTATTAGTTTAGTAGTTGTGTTTTAAAATAGAAAAACGTGAAATATTGTTCACTCATGTCTAATGGTCGCAAGTACAACAGAAAAATAACACACTATATGTCTATATATTTTTGTTAAATTAAATTCTTAAATGAAACCTTGTACCAAATCATGTCTGTTCTGTATTAAATAGTATAAATACAAAATGGAAATATGTTAAGCAACATTAAACTTTTTGTTCACATCAACTCACTTGTTTCACTATAATCTATGAAAAGTATATATATTTAAGAATCAAAACTTCGCGAACTTAAATAAAATTCTATCGATTGACATTCTCGAAAACTGCAATTTATTCTCAAAACAAAAACAAAACTGAAAACTAACGACATAAACACAACATGATATACATACAACTGAATTATAATTTTTACTATGGGAGCTTGTAAAAATTTCCCCAATATTCAAAGCAAGGCAACTAAACAATAATGTTACATTTTAATTTTAAATAAAATAAAGTTTTAAGCGTATACAAACCCATTAATATTATACGGGAATTATTCTTAATCTGACAAGGTATTTTACATTTTGGGGAATAACTTTTGTTTCTCAGTCTAATACTGGTATCTGCTATATAGGTATGTATAAAAAAAGTCGCTCAGACAAATCCTATTAATAGTTGAAACATTAGTTTTAATGCTGTTGAAATTATATACAGAATATAGTTTCATTTTATTTATTTTTATATATGTACAGGGTGTTCCAAAAGCTCGATGACAAACTTTGACAGATGATAGCTGGATTAATTTCAAACATTTTTTCTTATATGAACATAGGTCCGATCATTATTATTTAGAAGTTACAAGCATTTTAAAAAATATAATTTCATAGTTCAGTCAATGTAGCCTGGGAAATATAAATAATCGGTGTTAATAACAGTAATTATTTTTTGTGTTTAAAGTTTAAACATTAGTTAACCTTTTGTAACCAAATTAACAAATCTTGAGACTATAAAAATTGTGCAAAATGTCCATCCTCGGCTCGAATGCAAGGCTCACATCGTCGAACCAAAGATTCCGTTATTCGACAGATGAGATTTGGGTCATTTCTTATCTGGTTAGCTACATCCTGATTTCTTTCAAGTTACGCTGACGGGTAATGATTTTAATATAGTAGACAAGCTGCTTCATATAAATAAAAGTCCAGAGATTTAAATCTGGGGAATGCGGTGGCCATACTATTGGATCTTGTTGACCTATTCATTTATTCGAGAATGATCATTTAACCAAATAGTTTCTTGTCTTCCTTTATGTGGTGGTGCGTCATCGTGCTGATACCACAATAAATAATTAATGAACAATATTAAGCCCTACGTCTTCAATCAAAAAAGTTGTTTTGATACTGGAACGTTGCTGAAATCGTCTTGATCTAATCGCATGTGGATTTTGTAACGCCCAGATATGTTCATTATGATTATTAAGTGTGGTCCGGATGCTAGGTTCTGCACACCGTTTTACCTGCGCAATTCAAGACCGAGACTTTGCTTGTGGACAGGAAAACTATGCAGTTTTGAGAAGGTACACCGCATGGGAAAACTGAGGCGATGAGTATAGTTATCCACCAACTGCGCAAATTAGTCGATGCTTGTAGACGTTCACTCCGTTTTGTGATACGTTTTACCATTTGAAATTTGAATAGGCAAATCGTCGCAAAATTTCAAGTTCTTCATCAACATTCCCGTGAGTTTCTGTTTGGTATGTGAAATTAACGGAATATGGTGACAGAAACAAAAAGAGCCAGACATACGAAATTTTAATCGAAAAATTCAGAGAGGTTCAAGCTGTAGCAAATAGAGAAATACCTAGTTAGTTAGAAAAATAGTTTATTTTTTCTTTCTTACAAAAATTGACTGGAGCAGTACTTGGTCCAGGGTCGATTTCGCGAATACATTGTATTATTTGCAACATTGTATTGTTTGCAACATTATTCTGATATCAACGAAGCCTTTTGTAATTTTTATGATAAACTCTTTTCTCTGATTGATAAATATGTCCCTAAAAC